CGTCAGCTTGTCTTTGATCTCGCGCCATTTCTGCTGGTGGCCCTTCGGTGTCCGCTTGCCTTTAGTTGGAAAGTCCACATCCGCATTCGTGATCTCATTCTCCTCTGGGCAGAAAGATTCAAGGATTGTCCGTTCCATGAGCAGCCGAGCGCTGCTGTTAAAAACGTAAAATTTCATGATGTTTCTTTCATAGCTTCATACACAGGAAGGGGGACAAGGCCTGTTCGCTGTTCAAAGACTGAAAAGTTCACTGGAAAGCGCGGGTTGTGGGTGTGGCCGAAATGATGCCCGCCTATTGGTCCGCACGTAGCCAAAATGCTGCGCGCCAATTGGTCCCCGCTAGGCTGGCTTGGATGGGAAATTGAGGTTCGGGCGGGGGGGGTGTAGTACCGGCATGTCCGACCCGTACACGGCGAATTTCCGCTGCCGTGTGGAGAATAATTAGGTGATAATTGCCGCTAAATTATGCATATTCCAGCAACGCACGGAGCGGTGCACGGCCATTTCCTGCCGTGTACGGGGATGTACAGGGATCGTGTCCGGGCATATAACGTCCAGGACACGACCTGCACACAAAAAGTGGTTCATTTCCGGGAGTGTACTGGACATGTACGGGACTGGACACGTTTCGTGTGCAGGTCGGAAACCCCCGGGTTCTACCGGAAACCTAAAATATCCGGGAAAGTGTGCGGCAATTTCTCACACGGAAACTAGGGATTTTGTGCCGTGTTCAAGAACTCACAATGCTCCTTCATTATCGCATTCAGCGGGCTCACAACTAAGACGAAGGAACTCGGAGCCGCTGACCCTGCCATGGGAGGTTGATTTTCGCGGGAATAACTTAGTTGTTATGATGTTAGTTGCACTGGCACGACATTCATTGAAAGTGCGATGGCTAAGGAAGACCGCATTGTAGTATAGTATGTTCGTTATATTGAATGCTGCTGTGGATTATGGATTATGAATGCTGTTATTTTATTAGAACCTCTTGTTCCCTTTAAACACCAGTATGAACCATACTGTACATATGTACAGTACATACTGTACTGTACATATGTACATGTACTCCTACACACATTTATGATTGCCTTATAGGATCTTACCAGTAAACACATTTATGTATAAACATACCAGGTAGTGATACCACACAAATGGTAGCCTTTAAACATCTTTTTACAACATCTTTGTGGGGTCGACTGAGTGCTCGTCTCGGAACCATGAGGTCCCGGGTTTGAGTCCTGACATGCCACTGATCTTGTACTTAACACAACTTTCTTCACTTAACTCAGGTCAAAATGAGTATTGTCTGTCCTGTATTCGTTTTTATGTGTGGGACACAACACCAGCAACAGCTGCCTTTGTTCCACATGTATTGTATTGTTACAATCTCAATAAATCTTTTCACAATTAAGGAGATAAGTACCTGCCAGGTAATCTCCAAGCAGATCTTTTGGTGGGGGTAAGACAGTATCAAATTGGCCAGTCTGTATCCAATTCCCCACCCTTGGGTGGGGAATTGAATACAGACATGAAGAAACCTTCCTCCCCAGGTTTACCGCCCAGGGGTGGTGTAAGGAAAGTTGTAGAGTTTTGGCAAACTTTACGAAAGGACATTCAAATACTTGGACCTTTAAAATAGATTACACAGTATACAGTATAGACGGCTTACAGTGTTACACACCATTTGGCACACGCATCACAACCAATGTCACGTGCTTTGTACATTTGTAAATAGATCAAAATAGTTCTGATAATGTTGAGAAGCAAGTAAATGATTACAATCTTGCCCATAAAACTCATGAATGCTATAACTGGTTAACCCAGGAATGGGGAGGGGGGCAGGTTTCACAACAAGGTACCGTATTTTCAGCCAGGTAGTTGAGAGCCCTGTGCAATAAAAACAGGGTTGGACAAGTCCCATTGCCCACTTGCCCAGGGCAAGTAAAAGTACTGTTCGGGCAAGTGAATATCCCCCTGTACTTGCCCAATTTGGCAAGTAAATTTTTTGGATACAAAGTATAGTCGCAATGGTGTTTGGAGCAAAATTACTCATCATTTTGCCAAATTGATATTATATTAATTAATGTCCTTTTGTCAGAAAATCCATTGCAAGTCTCAAACCACATTATTTTGATGAATAAAGTATGTAGCATTATAAACTCTAAAATAAGATGCTGGTAGTAAAAATGTCATGTATATTTTGGGCAAGTGAAAAGTTGGTTCGGGCAAGTGGAAATGACCATGTACTTGCCCAATAGGGCAAGAGGATTTTTGAAAACTTGTCCAACCCTGAAAAAGCAACTGTTATAACTGATGGAGACATGTTCTTGGGATTCTCCTTCATTGATAGCGCTTATTTTGATGTTATGATGTTTCAATACAGTTGACAAGATATCAGCTGTACCGAGGACCCAATGGAAGTTAAAACACGTACCGTATGATGGGATGCCTTTCAAGCTGGTCGGAAACATATCATACTGTTGCCACCTGGGACCTGATCTCAATGTCAAGACGAAGGAGAGATATCATGCTGACAAAGAGAAACAAGCGGTATGTTGGAAAATTTACATGAATGAAAAGTTCAAGAAAAAAAATATTGCCATTACATTTGTGTACATGTGTTTTCTATATGACACATGCTATAAAATTGCTTAAATTACGAATGGCATGCACAAGTTTGTGTTAGTAAAATTGAAAGTGATGTTAGAGAATGCTATACATGTACTAGTGTGGGTGCAAACAAGGACATATAATGTCCTTGGTGCAAGTAACATTTCCTACCATCATATTTGGTAGAACATGCATGGGGACAGCTGTGACAAAGCAAGTGGCAATTCCTTAGGAGTATTATTAATTAAGTTCATTATGTATTGGCTCAATATAATGCAATGAAATAATATTAATTCAATAAAATAAGATCAACCATCCTGACACCTGTTATGTTGACATCTTCTACAAAATTAATGATGAAATTTGTAATGCAGATATTTTGTCAGGTCAACTATTTGCTGAAAACACCTGATATTTTCTTTTATTTTTATGCACCGCAATTTCCAATTTCCCCTAGCTTGAAGCCAGGCACCGGCAGGTACAACACACAAAGAAAACGGATTGTCCAGCACGATTCACAGTCTCTCAAGTCATCAAATTTCCAGCTTTCAAGGTAAAACTGATTTTAAGGCTAATTTTCTCATACAAAATTAATCATGTTATTAACCACTATATTCTCGTACCAGTTTCCTTGTGATTCAAAATAGGGTGTTAGGTGACAAATCATTGACGCTTAGGTTTGTCCCATTTCTATATAGTGCTATGTTCTGATTCTGCACATCAATTCTCGTCTTGAGTACATGATTAACGCATTATTGTAGTTGCTATGGTCACTAATAGTGAACTTTTCTTCTTGGCAAGTCAGCAAGCAAGCTGACTGTTGTACTATCATGTTGTCACTGTACCCCCCCCCCCAAGTACTTTGTTTTTTGGACAAAAATATATGAAGTGCAGTGGACTCCACTTAATCAAGCACTGCTTTCTCGCACAATCAAGTTAAAACTTAAGTTTTGCTTACATACCTGTCATACCCCCCCCCCCCCTAGATTGAAGAGGACAAGGAGTCAAACAGGAAGGCAGCTTCAGCAGCACTGAAGAAGGCCATAGAAACTGACGCCTCCAGGGTAGAAGCAGTTGTGGAATACCATGCAAGGTTTCCTGACATAACGGAGCATCGGTATCACCCTACTTCTGGACAGGTATCTGAAAATATCTTCCTCATGTAAACTTATATATATCAAATATTCAAGACATTGTTCTGCTTTCTGAAAGCTTTCTCCTTTCAACTGCTTGACAAGTCATCATACACCTGTTCCCAGCCGTTAGGACTAGAATACCTGCACATGATACAATACAATGATTTTTTCACAGACAGCTGAACTACAAGAACCCATTGATCCTCGTGTCAAGGATCAGATCGTCAAGCTAACCTTGGCAGGGGTCAGAAGGGTTGATGAGGTCAGACGGCACCTGGCAACATTTGTCGCCGATGAACTCTTCCGAGGGCAGAAGCCGCCTCCACAGACTCGACACAGGTTCAACCCTACGGACAAAGACATACGAAATCTCATGAAACGAACAAGGGATAGCACTAGCGGAATTGCTGCCGAGCCTGCTGAGGTAGATGATGAAGCCTTGCCGCCATGTGCTGACCTCCCTCCAAGAAAGAAGCAGAGAAAGACCCGACTAAGAACAGAGTGTGCAAGTCTTCTGAAGGAGGTGACGGGTCTGACGTATCATTTACAAGACGAGACATTCCTGGAAACCTTGAAGGAACAAATAACTGATATCAGGGAGGATATAAGGCAGCACGTGCCCCACGATGAGACACTCCCTCTTAGTGTCTTAGGATGACACCAAAAAAAAGTAAGACTGAAAGTGAAACAGCTGGTTGGTCAAGGTGGGACTCTACCTGTGAAGAGGGTACCCAAGAAACACCCATATCAACGTAATATGTTGATATTATGAAATCAAACTTTTGGGTCTCGTTGTACTCTTGACGCGAACAGTATGTCGTATGACCACCAAATTTTCAGAGGATGGTGTACTAGAAAACATTTATCATATGTACAATTTTACAATTAATATTTCGTTATGATATAATATGACATTTATTGGCCAAAACCGTCTAGATAGGTTATTCCGTAACACTAAATGGTATACAACATAACTTTACCAAAAGTGTTTATGACAGAATATTAGGGTGTACTAAGTCTTATGTTGCCCACAGCAACACCGGTGACGTCATAAAATGACGTCATGCATATTTGAGTTATCCGTCATTTTGGATCATCAATCTTGAATTTTCAAAAATATATTTTAGCCTGAAATACACTGAAAACATATTGATGAAATTTTAAGGAAAATAACCTGTGTATACCTGTTCTAATGATATGGTCCACCATCGTGAGTTGTTGCCAATGACGTCATCAAATTAGCATAAATCATGCATTTTAATGAAAAAATTTACATAAAATTATATGGGATGTTATGAATATTAGAAACCATATGTAAATTGACATAAAACCCATAAATTTCTATTGTTGAAACGAAAATTACTAAATTCAGCAAAAGATGCCTGTCAGAAACCCGTTGCCAATCTTATTCCAATGATACAGAATTGTTGCCAACAATATTCAAGGAAAAGTCAACAAGTTTGGCCGTTCTAGCACTATCCGTTAAGACGCTACGTGACACCAAAGTTGGCGCGGGCACTTTTACCCCCCCCCCCGTCTAGAAAGGGTTAAAACGACCCATGTACCCAACGTACAATGTGATGTGATGTAATCTTGAGTCTTGAAATCCATATAACATGGATGCCTGCATGTGTTCCTTGCTGCAAATGACTTTACATTTTATAATCATTGTAATAAATGAGGTCACACACTTTGAATATGAGAAAGAAAACTTTTACTCAGTACAAAACCATAAACACCGTAGCTTTGTACAGCTTGTATACACAGCTATTAGACAACAATGGCTTCACTTCACTTCACTTTACTTCAACATTGTACACGCACAATAGTGACTGTCATACTCAGGGCTCTAGTCTGTATGTCATGTACAATGTATATCAGATATACCTTCTCAAGAACTCTTCGTTAACTTCTCAATAGATGTCAAATCTCTTGTCAGAATCTTAAATCATTATATACCGTATTGTGTAACATTTGCCCCTACAAAAGAGCAAAGGTATGCTGATACACCTGTACATACAATATCACCAGAAATTGTTAACATCATTTCAAACATCTGAAAATTCACATTTTGTGTGGTTATTGTACAGTTAGTTACTGTTACAGTATTGTTTTTCTCTTCTCTTTCGGTCACTAAATATATGACATGATATCCAGTACAGTTCAACAGTTCACACAAGCAAGCAACACCTTTAATGCTGTCCTACCGGTACTTAGAAAATGACAAGCAGACATTTTATCAACCTCAATCCCTCTTCTCGCTGCAGTTCATAACCAGCAGTGAACATGTGCTTGGCTAGGGGGCAGCAGTGGCCTTCACTTCACAGATATAATACTCCTCACTATTGTTGAAAAGATCATACCACTCATAATTAGAGGCCCCAACACTTAGTGCAGCATAGTTACGAAGATGATCATTATGAGTAGGATACCCCTGTACCCAGTTGGTCCAGCCGGTGCCGAGTATTTTCCCATCACCCCACACCCAGGTTCCCTCTGTCACCTCGTCTGTCAGACCGATCCACATATCGTCGCGGAATCTGGCCTTGGCCAGTTTGGCCAAGAAGTCGTTTGTTGCCTTGTCTTTGGGCATAGCCAGGTGCCCGCCGGCAGCCTGACAGTCGGACCTGGCATCAGTGTAGTGCTTTGCGTCGGTAGAGATCTTGTAGAACTTGTCGGGTCTTTCGCTGAACTGTTCATAGCCACAGGGACGGGCTTCGGTCTTGTTACAGCAGGCTGCAGATTGAATGAGATATAGTATACTGTACGTAACCTTCTTGTAAGTTATTGTCGACAGACTTTGAGTCAGGCAGAAAACACACTTGTGCTATGGAAAACACGACTCTCTTCATGAAGACAACAGTAAACCAAGATGGTGTACAAAAGCAGTGTGCTGAAGATGGCTTACTATGTGTGATATAACTATAATGGTTTATTGGTCAAACATTAGCCGTGCAATCGCAGCCCTCTAAAGCGCTGAATTGATGCAGGGTTTACAATCGAGTTGCAATCACATAAGAATCAAACAATAACAACAATCACATAATACGCATGATACACATAACATATTTGCTCCACACACTTTTGTGGAACTGACGCAAGGGTCTATATGGCTGCCATTCGGCGCCAGGTGACCTCAATACGACTTTCCCGAAGTTGGGTACCCATTCACACCTGGGTGAAGTGAGGAAACTCGTGTAAAGTGCCTTTCCCTAACTAAGGGCACAATGTCGGGGCGTACATGTATGTCCAGAAATGTCCCGGGTACGACTCGGGATCGAACTCAGGCCTCCCCGTTTCATAGTCGAACGCTCTACCACTATACCACCCGACGCCATATTTATTAGTAAGTATACTGTGTTACTCACTCTTTTTGGTGAGGCAGAGATCCAACTTGAGATTCTTGATCTGCTGCTGCATCGCCTTGTCTCGCTCCTCCATCTGTTCCTGTATCTTGTCTCTCTCCTCCATCTGTTCCCGCATCTTCTTGTCTCGCTCCTCCATCTGTTCCTGCATCTTCTTGGTCTGGTCCAGCAACAGAGTTATGACCATGTTCTGGAATTGGATGTGAAGGGACATTTAGTATAACTTTGACATACTAGTATATTTCTGACTTGTTTGTATGATATTGAAACATGAAGTATTTAAAGTATTTTGTAGTTGCCAAGTTGAATTCCTGCCCTTACATGTGCATAATGCATGTACTTGTGTCAATGGTTGTCTGGTCCAACAGTCACGGTGGTCAAATATGGACCCCGATCTTCCCACCTGCTGTAGAACCCGAACCATGTTCGATCTGACGTAATTCAAACAGAACGGGGTCACCCGCGGTCATTTAGAGTAAACCTGGGTTTTCCGGCCCCTCTTTACATGGGTACCTTCTAACATGTTAACAGGAGAAAAATCTACAAAGAGCTTCGAACTGTTTGACAATGCCAGTGAGTAGTGTTGAGTTACAGATACTGTTATGGCAGTTTGGATTTCACTGTTGGCTGTGTGTTGGTAACATCAACAAGGTCGGTATAAAAGAAGGTGAACTTGAGTCTCTCCCATTCTACCCACGTACAATAGGAACATGCAATGTATATGTACACCAGTGGCATTGACTTTCAAAATTCTTTTATAAAACTGGTCGTTGGCTTCTTTCATTTCCAACAAGCTCCAAACTGCGTTGGTAACATCAACAAGGTCGGTATAAAAGAAGGTGCCGCTCCCTGCTGATACGCCAGTTTTGCAGTTGGGACAGTCGTTTCCAGATCACTGCACCACAAGAGCTAACCATGGACGTGAAAGTAGTGCTTGTGATGCTGGCTGTCCTGATGCCCCTGCTGTTTTCACAAATAAACCATTTCCTGGATAGTAATGTCTGCAATCATTTTGTAGTATAATATGATATGTCACGGAACATAAAACGAAGTTACTGCCGTCATTGTGGGTGACCTTCAAGATCGCAATACTTGTACACGTCGGCATAAACAAACACTCCACATATTCATGCCGTATGACAGGAAGAACTTTATTGCACGGCAATTGCACATGGTACAATGTATGGCAAACTACATAAAGAAAGTAACAAACAATAAAATAAATGCGTTGAATAAGCCCTAATGTCCAATAAAACCACATCGTACTTACTTAAACAATAAGGGCTAGCAAAAGTCTTTGATAAAGTGTTACAATCGGGGTTATGGGCTAATCGCAAGTTTCGGTATTTTTTTCTAATAAAAAAGCAGTCCTTTATACACATGCGTCCAAAACTCGTCTAATCAAAAGATTAAAAGCATGAAGGGCCCTACATATCTCACTGACGGCTCAAAATGACCGTAATGGGTTTGTTCAGAATCGTGTCTTAGGGATTCTGGAAAATGACCTTGATTTTGAATTATGAGCAATTGAGTGTGTTTTTTTTTCACCAATATGTGGACGAAAACTATACTTCAAATCAGAAATTAAAAAAAATCCTAAGACACGTATTTTTTAAATCTTATTCCTAGTCGTACGAAAAATGGTAAAAACCGGGGATTTTGGGGGTGATATACGTAGCCAATTATAAACGGTGTTTGCTAAAAACATGACTCGGACTGGCGCTCCGAATCCCGAAAAAAAACGTCTTTCGGAGAGAGATTTGTAAAAATCAGCAATTCAACGTAAACAACTAACATTAAAACTATGTCAAGACGATTATTTCATTTTATTATGATGGAATTTACCCTTCAATGCCATTTGTTTATTTTCAACTGTTTACGGGTTGTCAAAAACAGGCTAAAATTGCGTCTTGTAACCCGATACTTTTTGAACGCCCGAAGCAGTGGGAAATGATAGCGTAGCAACAGACCGCCGTGAGTAAATACTGATTGGCTAATAATAATACTATTATATGTCATATTACTTTTGAATACTAATAATATTCAAATAAACTTATTACCCTCTATTGGCATGGAGAAACTACTAGTAATGGAAAGACAAAAACATCAATAAACACCAACAAATTAAGAGGAAACTAATGAACTAACCTGACCAGTGTCTGTCATGTCCAGTAACTGTCGTTCCAGCTGGCTGGTGTCTTGGAACAGTCCTCCCTGCTTACAGCAGCTCAGCAATGTCTCAGCAAGGGTGGAGGAATACTAAGTTTATAAAAAAAAACTCAGACTGTCTGGGATGACCATGATAAGAGGCCGAGGGCGATGCATTCAGTAGTCACTTACTTAATTTTACAATTTGAAAACAAAGAATAATTGGTGGGTCTACATGTAGCCTCTACCAGGCTCCGCGGATTGCTGGAAAAATAGTAGAAATTGGCCAAAATAAAGGGATAGTATACCAGAGAAGATCCGGGGCCATAGAAAATCCATTTCGCGACCAACGCGGGTCTACATGTAATTCTGTAATTCTTGATTTTTCACAGCACTTTTATGTTCACGGTTTTCATGGTCCCTTTTATACTTGGAACTTATCATTACCGTTTATCGAATCATACTTTTTTCTAGACTCGATCCCCTCCCCATTTTTGGCCACTGTGAAGATTAAGTTCCATGAACATGTCCTTTTCCTCAGACTCAGACAGTGAAAATCTAAGTGTGCTCAAGACAATCCACTTTTCTTTATACCAAAGAAATGTTAAGTTTGCGTCAATAGAGACAGCACATACCTGACTCTTGTCTGCTGTGCCACTCCCTCCTGTGTTGTCCCCAATGTTGAGGTTGATGTTGACAATCTGGCCTGAAGCCTGCAGCAGGGGGCATCAGGACAGCCAACATCACCAGCACTACTTTCACGTCCATGGTTAGCTCTTGTGGTGCAGTGATCTGGAAACGACTGTCCCAACTGCAAAACTGGCGTATCAGCAGGGAGCGGCACCTTCTTTTATACCGACCTTGTTGATGTTACCAACGCAGTTTGGAGCTTGTTGGAAATAAAAGAAGCCAACGACCAGTTTTATAAAAGAATTTTGAAAGTCAATGCCACTGGTGTACATATACATTGCATGTTCCTATTGTACGTGGGTAGAATGGGAGAGACTCAAGTTCACCTTCTTTTATACCGACCTTGTTGATGTTACCAACACACAGCCAACAGTGAAATCCAAACTGCCATAAC